TTCAGAGGGAATGCCATCTCCGAAGGAAAGAATCAGTAAGGTTTTTCTGTATGAAACCAGATGGTAAATAATTCAGACTTTATAGGCCACACAGTCTCTGGCAACTTACAACTCAACTCTGCCTTGAGCAGCAAAGTAGTCACAGCAATATGTGAAAGAAATTAATATGGCTATGAACCAGTACTACTTTATGGACCCTGAAAATTAGATTCATACAACTTTCACATGTCACAATTTATCATTTTTCTTTTGATATGTTCAACCATTTAAAAATGCAAAGAACACTGTTAGCTTACCAGCCATTCAAAAAGCAGATATCTATTTAGGGCTGCCAGATCTGGCTGTGGGCCATAGTTGCCATCCAGTTTTCCTTCATTCTGTACCTATTATTTTCCTTTACATAAGCCTAAAAATTATGTGTGTTTTCTTTTGGCAAAGGATTCCCTTTTCTTCTCTAGGTCTGTGACACCTAGTCACTCTTTCTTTTAGGTCCCCAAACTCAAATAGAACAATGACGAGGTAAAGCAAGGCACAGACTGTGGCCTGAAGGAAGAGCACCGAGTACCACTTTTGTTACTTCCCAGCTATATGCTCTTCTGCAAGTTACATATCCACTTCAAGACTCCATTTCATAATTTAATCTTTTAAAAAATATCATTATATCATTATATCTAACCACCTGAAAGTATTTCTGGAGGTATGACATTACATTGAGTAAGGTAGGAAGAACGGAAAATTGAGCATGTGGAAAAGTTTCCAACCACTTCAAAAACAAGGTCCTGCCTTTATGTTTCCTTGGTAAGTTCTCCTGTTAGAGAAAGGAAGTTCAGTGAATTCAGTTAAAATTTTAGGAAAAATCCTTTTTAGAGCAGCTAGCAATCTCACTGACTGCATGCAATATTCATAATTCTCTGAGTGGGCCAGAAACAACCAGATAAATTGAGATTCTTGGTTGTGTTAAAAGAAGAAGTAATGTACTACGAGGAGCACAAAAAATTAAGAAAAAAAAAACTATTCCTTCATTTCAAAGAATTGATAATTAACCAAAACACCTATCATACAAAGTAGGTATGGTTTATATAAACCAAATGTATTAAGAAGTTAAAAACAGAGCCAAACAAAAGATAGTATGGGGAAAATTTCCCAGAAGCTAGATTTAAACAATGAATAGAATTTCAAGGAGAAAAAGCAAATATAGAAATCTGAGGGAGAACCATACATACATATCTAGGATTGTAGGATTCTCAATTCCACTAGCTATTTCTAATTTTTCTACAACAATACTGTGCTTCCACCAACAGTTTGAGAATTCCCATCTTCACACTTGGTATGGTCTGTTTATGTTTAGAATACTTTAGTCAATGTGATGAGTAGAAGGAGTATCTCAATTCATTTTTCACTTCTTGTCCTCATGTTCTCTGGGATTTGTGTGTGTGTTTGTGTGTGTGTATGTGTGTTTACATTATGAAATAAAAGGCACAGTCTGTTTAAGGATAATGAGTTGTTCTGCCTGGCTGGAATCCAAAACTCAAAAAGCAGTCAGAGGACAAGTTCCTCTGCCTTTCAGAGGTGTCTCCTGGACCTTGGTCTTTTCCTCTGCACCCCATAAATTGCTGGTCTGCATCAGCAGATAGGGACAAACCTTTCCTTTCCTCTTTGAATGTTCCCGTGTTAATTAAAGAGTTTACAAATCGGGCCTCCCTGGTGGCACAGCGGTTGAGCGCTGGGTTGCGAAGCTGCCCGCAGCCTCTGCAGTGCTGGTTCAATCCCTGGCTGCTCCCCGGAGCCTCTGCAGTGCTGGTTCAATCCTTGGCTGCTCCCCGGCCACCAGAGGAGGGTCCCACATGGCGCGCTGACCTCTCCTGCCGCCCGCTGCTCCTCCTCAGCAGTGTACTTCAGTCCTTCTGCCTGCTCTGCTCCCCGCTCTGGCTCTGGTGATTTCTCTGCTCTGACTCTGGTGAATTCTCTCACCCTCCCCCGCTTCTGACTGTACCCAGTGCTTGTATAAATAAATAAACAAATAAATCTTTAAAAAAAAAAAAAGAGTTTACAAATGAACATGGTTGAAAAATACTGGTCTTGAAAGAAACATAGGAAACCATTTCCGCCATATTTTCCCAAAACTTGGTCTCTGCCCAATTTAGATCATGAAATTGTCAAGGTAGTTTGGAAAACACAAAAATGTTGTGCCAGGTCTGAAAACCTGGTGCAAATGCTTGGCGGGAATACTTCTCTCATCCAGAAGGCAGAAATATACAGGAAAGGTAAATCAGGTCATGAACATGATTTATAGACCCAGACATGGGGATAAAATTTTAAGGTAAAATTCCTATAGAATGTATAGAAATAAATGATTGTTTTTAACCAAAATCTTATTTAAATACTTACCATTCTAAGAACAATGTGGCAGCCAAAAAAGAATAAACACAGTACCCAACAGAAGTCAGAGTAAAAATGCCAAAAAGCAATGTTCTCAACTGTGGTCAATATAAAGCACCAAAATTAAGAAAAACTATATTACAACCATTGACTGATGTGATTCAAAGAACACATTCCCTCCTACAATGAAAAAAATAGTAAAATCACTTCAAAGACTTGCTTTAGAAAAAGCATCACTATTATCATTCCAGTCATACTGGGAGTCACAAAGCCTCAAGTACAAATATCTTTCTCTAACCTAGTGGTTTTCAATGCTAGCCTATTCTATCCTTCTGGAGTCACTTAACTATGTTTTTATTTTGAGACATTTTAATTCTCACACCTAGAGGAGGGAACTGCCAGCATCTAATGGTTAAAGGCCAATGATGCTGCTAAACATTCCTACAATGCACAGGAAAGTCCCCACTTCAAAGAATTACCTAGCTCAAAATGTCAGTAGGGTTTTGAAAGCAAGGTTTAATGTATTTCTAGAAAATCTGTTTCTAGCCTAGCTAGGATGGGGGTTAGAGATGGTTATCATTCTCCTTAACGGCAGTCGATTAAACCAGACAACTTAGAATTCTAAAATTTTCTTACTATTTACACAAGGTAGATAAATGTTTCCAATTTAGTAATTTTTAGTTGTATCATTTAAGGGGCAAAATAGAACACAGTCCATGATTTTGGCCATGTTATAATGTACTGCACTATCTATATTTACTAACTTTTCACATGTACCTACACAAAAATTCACACTGAAACAGGCTACGTTGGCTCGACTTACTATGAATTAATATTCTCCTGCATTTCAGCAATACCCCAATTCCCCATGTCCACCCCCCTAAAACAACGAATCATCAGATTTCAGCATGGGTTTTATGTTGTCATTTTCTGAGGAAAATATACATATCTTAAATTCACTTTTTCTCATGTTACAATCTATTAAAACTTTACTGTCTAGCTCCATGAAACTTAAAAGCCAGAATAGAAAAGGAAGCTGATTTTTTAAAGTAAACTTAAAAGCGGCTACAAAGATATGCCGTCTATTAAAAAAGTTAAAGGTGATAGTAATGAAGTAAAATAAAATATGCAAAAATCTTTAAGGTCCCTCTAAAAGTAGAAAAGTCCTTAGGGGTTATTTTATTTCCAAGTAAATGTTCTTGGGTGTTTCAACAAAGAAAGTCATTTTTCCTGGGAATTTTTTTCAAAGCCTCCATTTCCAGGTTTGCTAAAAGCAAACTTGAAACTTGTCTATTCTCTAGGTGTTATACTAAAAGAAAAAATTTAAAGTTAGGAAGAAAATTAAGCTCAAATGTAAAGGACTCACACAGTTTTCAAAAATCCATTTTGAAACTATCATATATATCTGAAAGAAAAGCATGGAGTAATTGATGGAAATTCATCTGAATGCAGACGTTTCTCAAGCTAACAAAGCAAGTACTGTTCCGAAGAAATGTAGAAAGATGGGAAGTGTAGCCCACTTAAGTTTTCCGAAACACTTAGATGAAGACAAAACTATCGCTACACCCATTTGCTGGCATTATACACGAAATGCCAACTTCTGAATTTGAGCCTGAAATAGAAATTTCTGTCCTGATCCTTAAATAAAGTACAAACAGAAAAAGCACTTTTCTTTACTTACCAAAAAAGGTGCCAAAAGATACTGTTTTAAAAATAACAACAGGACAGCAGAAAGGCGATTAAATGCAAGATCTAATTTCCAAGAGTTGAGGAGCATTAGGGCAAAGAGGAATACCCCAAGGACATCCCTGTGCGCCAAATGGCAACAAAGTATGTTTAGCCAAACTGGTGGTGAGACTCTTTAATCTGCCTAAATGTAAAAAGTTTTGTTTTACATGAACTTGACCAGACTATTCGTTGAAGTTCCAGCTTATGAAAATAAGACAGGGCACCAGGCTTCGAAAAAGACTGGCTAAGGGGACTAGCTATGTGTGCGCAGCTTGCCCTCCAAATCTCCAAAGAGGAAAGCTGCTGCCTGGAGGTACTGGGTAGCCAGGCCGCCTTACTGAAAACAACCAAGGTTTTGAGCGTTGTTTTTGGCAAGCGGTAGGTGTTACCGGCTGCTTCCCGAGGCGCTGGAAGGAATGTGTCACCATCAATCAGAAAGTACACTGAACCCCGTGTTTAGGTCACAGCGAGTACTGCCACATCCAACACGGATAAATTACGCCAACTCCAGAAAAGAAGAAAGGGGAGCTGCAGGAAAGGTTTTGCATCCCTATGACCTGCAAGACCAAAAGAAAACCTTAACTTGTGCTGAAGGGAAATTCGCGCTTCCTCTGGTTGCGAAGACCTCCTAGAGCCGCTGACACCCCACACACTTCTCCCGGGACCAGCACAACCCGAGCGCAGTTCTGGGGGAGAACTCGGCAGCCACAGGAGAGACAGTCCACCCCACTCACCTCGGACGTTCCGGGGAAAGACGAGCCCCCCACCTCCTCACTTCTGAGGTTCTGGTAGGCTCCTCGCTCACGAGGCTAGTACGGAGCAGGGGGCGGTGGATGAATGAACTGCCCACCCCGCCGAGCCCTGCCAGACAGGCGCGCTGCGAAAGTGCTCACCTGTGGGGATGCTGAAAGACTTCTCGGAGTTTGTACCCAGGCAGGGATCCCAGGGCTGGAAGACGAGCGCCAGCAGCAGCAGCAGCCGCCGCAACTTGCCGGCGCAGGACCCCATCTTCCTCCCTTCGAGGGAGCTCCCCCGCTCCAGCACCCCAGCCCCCCACCCTCCAGCCCTGCAGCTGCGCATTTCTCGCGAGAGCGCGAGGACAACCCCCCACCCCGGACACACCCAAGTCCGCCCCGGGGCGCACGGCCACTGGCGAGAGGGTGCGCGCAGCGCTCCCGCGGGCAGCAGCCCCAGCCGTAGGGCAGAAGGCCCAAGTCCAGCCGTCGCAAAAGCACAGACGGGCGGGCGTCTCTAGCGGCGGGCAACTTATAGGATCCCCCGAGGGGGAGGTGACGGGGCGGGCCGCGTCCCGGCTATTGGCCGCCGCTTGATCCGCGCACAGCTGCGTGCGCCCTGCGGTGGCCTCCGTTCGCCTTCTTCAGCACCACGTCCGGAATTGTTTGCTTAACGTAGACCTATTTAAGGAGCTGTCTGCGGCTACGTGTAGAGCCTCACGCAGGGCTCTTGTCTGGAACTTGGAAGCGTGTACTTAAGTAGGGAGTGGGCCTGGGGGAGAGAGGAGGAGCCGCGGGGAATGTGGCGGGCGGTGCTCCCTTCTTTTTCCTCTCTGCTGCCCCAGCTTCGGAAGCTTCCCACTGGCCTCAGGGGTGATTCTCTGGATTTGGATACTGCGCTACTCAGAAGTGACAACAAATCCACAGAATCTGAGCGGAGTGGGATCTTGCCAGACTCAAAACCCTGGAAGTGGATCTCACCCCACCGCTCAACTGCTGGGGCAAGTTTCGTCACCCTGTAAAGGAAGGCCCTGATTTTATTTTACTCTGTAGACCTAAAGTTTTTATTGTCCTCCTCCTTTTGTGCCAGGAAAGCCCTAGACACTCTCCAGCAATAGCTTGTAAATCCTGGGGACTCGGAGTTCACCGTGTGTAACCTGGGATTGTGCCTTCCTCACAAGATTACCCTTCATTCCACATTGAAAATGAATCCCAGAGATATTGTGGGAAGATCTGTCAGCACCCTGGTGTGTCCTCCCCTACTTAGAGTTTTGACTGTTGTCTACGCAAATTCCTTTTTTGTGTATTCTCATCACATTTTATCTAGAGCTGTGTTTAATCTGTTGGAATGAGCAAAAACAAAAGCACGGGTTTAAGCAAAAACGTGATAATTTTGCCTCATATTTGTGGGCATGCCATATCTTATGGAGGAAAACACTCAGACTGGCAGTATGGCTTTATTTTGGAATTTTCTACCTCTAACTTCCAAAAGTGGAAAATAGATTTGAGTCATAACCTTTCCAACTCTGCGTTTTTAAAATTACCACAGAAAATTATTGGGATAAAGTATGTTCCATTACGGCCACATTTTGTGTAAAATTAGACACTCATCTCTATCTAGATGAGTACTGAATGGGTCAGTTAAAAACAGGTGGAAAAACCTGAAAAAGGTATTGCTAGGTGTGACAATTTAGAGAAAGAATCAATTCCTGTGTCCAGGACTAAGCCTGTATTTCTGTATTCTGAAGGTTTAGTCTGTTTTTTTAAAGAGGAAAATTCGAGAAAGTTGAGAGAAGAGTAACAAATAAAGAAATGGAAAGTATGACCTCTGAGAAGAATCAAATAAGGTTTATTTAGCCTGAAGAAGAAAGAAGCTAAGGAATGGGTTACTTAATAACATCCTTCAATGTGGCCAGCACAGCTCCATAAAACTTTAAAACATTAGTCCCCGAGTCCCAGAACTCTGCTTGGAATTGCTTGTCTTTTGGCCAAATCTCAGTCTTCAGAATTCCACACCTGTATACTGTGCCTGAACTCTGCCAAACATCTTGAACTTGATTTCTTCTTTCCTGGTTCTTCAGTATCTTCAAAAACTTAGATGTCCAGAGCCCGGCTATCTGCCCTCCCACAACATTTCCTGTCCTCAGACAGACAGACAGATGGCACCAAAAATTGCAGGTTACTATTGACGTTACTTCTTCTGTGCTGAGAATCACAGATCAGAACTGTAAGGCTTGTGTGAAACAAGTGTTTCCAGAGGATTTTTGAAGAAGCCAGATATGCCCATCACAGTCTGAGTAAACCCATTTTGAAACCAAATCCTCCTGTCTTCTTTTTTTTTCCTTTTTTTAAGATTTATTAATTTTTATGCAAGAACGGGGGTACAGGTCAGAGGCATGGGAGGGTGACAGGATTCACCAGAGACAGAGCGGGGAGCAAAACAGGCAGATGGATGGAAAGCACTGCTGAGGGGAGCAGTGGGCAAGCCAGGAGAGGTCTGCTGTGCCATGTGGGAATCTCCCTGGTTGGCCAGGAATCAAACCTACACTGCAGAGGCTGTGGACAGCCTCACAGCGCTGTGCCCAACCTGCTGTACCACGGTGGAGGCCCCTCCTGTCATCTTTATACTTCTAGTTGCTTACTGAATATTTTGGCTGGACATTCCCCTGCCACAAACTCCAAATGTTTTTAACTCATCAAATCCATATCCAATTCCAACTTCTTTCTCTCTGTTAATGATCCTGTTGCTCTCTAACTCACATAGCCAAAGGCATTTTCTACTTCCCCTCACCCCCTGTAGCACAAAGAGCTGGAATCCAAATCCTGCCATTATTTCCCTTTCAGATTTTCTAACCATATATTCTTTTTTCATACTACCACCTCACTAATGCACTCCTGAGTATACTCTAAATGTGCTATTTGAACTGTTTCCTAACTTATTATCTTTCTTGTTTTTCCTTCTCCTGATATTACAATACCACAGTATACCACAGCTAGACCCATCATATTCAGATATTCTTTTTATCATTCCACAAATCAAAGATTTCATAAGATATTTGGAAACAATCCAAATCCTTAATCTAAAATTCAAATCCTTTCACTATCAACCTAATCAGCTATGTCTGTGCTAAGCCCAACAAAGCTGGTTTGCTTTGTTGTCTGCCAAGCAGAACGAACACTGTCACTTTTATTTTCTAGCGTTTGGCTAAGAATCACTGTTTTCCTTTTGGTTTCTCCTAGAGCCAACTGGGAGCTAAGTTTCAAGGACTGACAGTTTTGTTGGGAGTTTTAAGGAAAAAGGATAGATGCATGAAGTGACATAGGAAAGAAAAATTAGGCAATAACAAGGCATTATTTAGTTACCACATTAAAACTCAAATCTACAGAACTGATGTTTATCACGTCTAACTTTTATCTAACTTTTATCAGACTACTATGCCACTTTCTAATAGGAAGTCCAACTTGAGTACCTCACTAATTCCATATTGTCTCACTCTTTAAATATTTTGTTTTCATTTCTGACTGTTTTATTACACAATTTACTTCTGGAGTGCTAAGCAGAATCCCATTCCTTTTCAATGTATACTAAATAATGTTCACGAAATGCTATTTTTTGTCCATTGATACAATGTTTATTGTCTTCTTACTGTGTCTCAAGCACTGTTCTAGACACTGAAGTGTGTATGTGTTTGTGTGTGTCTATAAATGAACAAAAATATCCCTGCCCTTATGGAGTTTTTATTCTTTTGTAAAGAAAGATATTAAACATATTATGGTGATAAGTAGAGAGAAAATAAATCAGGAAAAGTAAATGGGAAGGACCAAAAAGGAGCGAGTATAGTATAACTTTGACTAGAGAGTCGTGGATAGTCCTCACTAACCTGATGCTTGAGCAAAGACCTGACTGTGGAGAGGAAAGGAGGTGGTGGTCTTATATGAGGGAACTGTGTTCCAGGAAGAGAAATGGGAAGTGCAATAACGCTGAGGCCAGAACATACCTGGAACATTGTAAAAAGTCATGTGGGCCATGAGGAGATGTTCAGTAATTTGGGTAAATTTGTAGAAGATGAAGCCTCAGAGCTGTGGAGAAGGGAAATGATAAACAGCTTATAAACACTATGATAATATATAACTAGATAACCACTTTGACACTTGAGGACATTATGCTTAATGAAATAAACCCTCACATAAGGAAAAATACAGCATGATTCCACATACAGATGTGTCTAAAATAGCCAGACTTATTTTGTTTCAGAAGCAAATATAGAATGGTGGTTGTCAGGGGCTGGTGGGAAGGAAAGTAGAACTGTTAACCAATGGGTATAATTTCACTTTTGCTAAAGAAATAAGTTCTAGAGAGCTTCTGTGGAAAAATGTGTTTGTAGACAATGATACTGTATTGTACATTTAGAAATTTGTTTACAGGATAGATTTCATGTTAAGTGCCCTTAGCACAGTTAAAAAAAAAAAAGAGAGAGATAGTCATTTGGATGTTTGTAAGCAGAGCAATGGCATAATCTGCTCTAGATTTTGAAAAGAATTACAAAGTTCAGATGATGGGTTAGGTTAAGACTAGAAGATGTGGGAAGAAAATGAAATATAAAGCCTGGAGACCAATATGAAGGTCAATGCTTAGGTCCAGGAGACCATTGATGGTGATTTCAACCAGCCTGGTACCATAAAAGCCTGGTTAGATTTTGACTGTAGTGCCAACAAAATTTCATGTTTTGAATATAGTATAAGAGAAAAATATAGAAGTTATGGATATTTATCCAATGAATATGTGTTGAATGAATGAGAAGTAAGGCATTGGAAATATATATTCTAGCCTGGGGATGAAGAAAGGCCTGGGAATGAAGAAGGAGGGAAAGATTATATGAAATTTTTGAGGAAAAATAACAGCCAGACAGCAAAGAGCTGAAAAGCCAGAAAGATGGACCTTATTTATTTATTTCTTTTGAAGGGGTAGGGGTTGAGGAAAGGAGTCAGCAAAGGGGACTGATAAAGTCTAACAGATAGGAAAATAAATCTACAGAAGAGAGACTTGGAAAATTAGGAGGAAAACTGAGAAAAGGTTATTGATTTTAACATTGGGAACAGAAATTTGAGATCAAAATTTTATTTTATTTTATTTTAAGATTTATTTACTTATACGAGAGCTGGGGTACAGGCCAGAGGCACTGGAGGGTGAGAGGATTCACCAGAGACAGAGCCGGAAGCAGAACAGGCAGATGGACCAAAAGCACTGCTGAGGGGAGCAGCGGAGAGACAGGAGAGGTCTGCCGCACCATGTGGGTATCTCCCTGGAATT